GCGGGGCGCGAATGACCTCACGCCCTCGAGGGCGCTCCCGTGCGACCTCTGGAGCAGGGCAGGCCCCCGGCCGCGAGGCGCGCGAGGCGCGCGGGGCGAGGGCTACCGCCGCGACCCGGGAGGGTGACCCGTGAGAAGCGGAAGAAGGACGCACAGTGGGGGCCGATCCACAAGAAACCCAACCCTGAGAACCCCAAACGTCACGCTATCCATTGCAAAACCACCGAAACCCAAGACACCCAGGGCACCCTGGGGGCAAGCAGGTTGGCATGGGTCTCCACTGCACTCGTGCATGAATCTACGCTTGTTTCGAAAATACGCATGGCGCGAACGCTCGTGTCACTGGGGGAGAGCATTCAGGTAATAGCGCGTACGTCCTTCATGGGCTCCGTGGCGGGCTGAGATTAAGGGGCCCCGAGACGGCACGTGGACAGACCGTGCGGTGACCCCGGAAGCCCCAGAAAGAGCCTCACTGCATGGCCCGCCGCCGCACCTGCTTTGGGGGGACCCGGGCGGCCCCCGTCGCCCGAGGCGCCCTCGGGGAAGGACACAACGCCCAGGCCCGCGCGGACACCCCGAATCCCCTCAGACTCACCACGCGGCGCGGTCACCGCACCGCCCGGAGCCGACCTCGCGCCGTGCCCTGGCAGAGTGGGCGGGGTGATCGCGTGTTGGGCGCGGGCGACAGGCGATCACGCGATCTGCCAGCTGGGCGGCGCGCGAGCGCCCAGCAGTCGTGTACAAACAAGGAGTGCCCACACCCATCACGCCGAGACAGCGCGACGACAAACGGCATCGAAGCAGCATCGACAGCCCAGGCCCCCCAAACCCACACCTCGCAAGGGTGCGCGCGAGGCAACGCGCGAGGGACAAGGTGTGGACGCTTCAACTCTGGATCCGGGGGGAAGATGCAAGGCGGATGACTATGCGGCTACGGTTATGATCATGTCATGCTTTCTTCACGCCATGGGCGTGAAATTTGCCAGGCATCCTCCGATATGTTCTTCAAATCTCTGGCCCCAGAACCAGGGGTCAAGTCTCACCCTAGAGCCCATGTTGATGATCCCGAGGGGGCCGAAACCCCACCTGCACACGGGGGCGTCCAATGGGGGGGCCTCCACGAGGGAGGGGGGCTCGCACATCGTGCCCAGAGGCACGCGCACGGACGGAGGAGGAGGGGGGGGGTAACCGGGGGACGCAGCGAAAGAAGCAGAGACGGCCGTGCCAGCGAGGAGGAAGCGTGGCCCTGGGTGCGCTGGCCCACCTCCCTCCCGGCCATCGCCCGTCTCGTGGGCGCCCCCCGACGCAGCGGGGGACGCCGAGGGCCGCCTCCCCGGGCATGGGACCCCGCCGTGGCAGCCACGGGCCCGAGGCCGGCAGGGGCCCACGGGCGCAGGGCGGCGCACAGGACCGGGTCGTTCGCCACCGTGCCTCCGTGAGAGGTCCCGGAGAAGCGTGCGCCTGCCTCCCCCTCCTCCTCTCCCTCCTCCTCCTCCTCCTCCTCATCCCCCTCTCCTCCCCTCCCTCCTCTCCTCCTCTTCCTCTCCCTTTCCTCCTCCTCCTCCTCCTCCTCCTCCACCGCCTCCTCTCCTCCTCCTCCTCCTCGTTCTCCTCCTGTTCTTCCTCCTCCTCCTCCTCCTCCTCCTCCTCCTCCTCCTCCTCCTCCTCCTCCCGGGGAAGAGTCACAAGTGAGCTGCACGCAAGATGGTGGGATGCGACAGGCACTCTGGGAGAAGCGGCCCCTCCCCAAATCAGGATCGGGCTGAGGACGAGCAGACGGGAGGCTATAGGACAGAAGCCTTGCAGTCAACCGAATGCCAGCTCAAGACTGGCCCGAAGAAATCGAAGGCAAGACAATCGCAACACAGACGCAGACGGTGAGCAATGACATGCCACATGAAACGCCAGCTACGTGTGTAGTCGTGGCGTGACCACGCTGAGTGTACATGTTGACATAACTTACACGGCAAGCTTCCCGCAAGCAACACACCAGGTGAAAACATGCCAGACACGCTGAAGGCGAGCCGCCAGAGGGGGCCCAGTGCGGATCCGAGAAATCCGCGCGGAGCGCCAACAGTCCTTTTGCCTTCTTTGACGCAAGAGCGACCCCGGCGTGACCTCTGGTGCGCGGCTCGCCGATCGCTGCAGGCGCTGCGACAGTCGCGGCCCGCGTGCGTGAGCTTGGCCCTCCGCCCGACCCCCCGCGCGGCCCCCCGCGGCCCCCCGCGTGCCGGCTGCGCACCGGAGGCCACTCCGACGAAGGGCCACTCGAACTTCGGGTCACAACCCGCATCTCAGAGCTGCGCACCGAAGGCCACCCCAGCGAGGGGCCGATCGGACTTCGGGTCACAACCCGCATCCCTGGCGGCAGCTCGGGACGACCCCCAGGGCCCCCGCGGACGCCTCCCGGCGAGGCGCACCAGCTGAAGCGCACCCCCGGGGCAGGAGACCTCCTCAGAGTTCCGCCGTCGTGATGTTGTTCAATACGGGGTCGCGGAAAATCTCGACCCATTCCCCAGGACCGGTTTTTCATCCCGAGTCGCTTTTGGACGGTTCCGAGGCCCGGCGAAGGCGGCCCCAGAGGCCAAAAATAGCGAGAAAGCTCCGTCTTGATTTGCTCCATGCGCGTTGGATCTCTGTTCAACGCGTTGGATCTCTGGGTCCAGGAACCGACGAGAACGTCCGAAGACACCGAAAGCCTGAGCTGCCCCGATGGGGGGGCCGATGCTGCCTCCCCCGCCCCCCCGTCGGCGCCCCTCTGGGGCGCCGTGGAGGCCCACAGGTCTGGCCCCCCCCCCTCGCCTGCAGCGTGCTGCCGTCCAAGGAGTGGGCGTCCCGCGGGGCGTACGTGATCTGCGACGCCGGCTCTCTGCCCCCCCCTCCTCCCCCTCCTCCTCCTCCTCCTCCTCCTCCTCCTCCTCCTTCTCCTCCACCTCCTCCTCCTCCCCCTCCTCCTCCTCCTTCCTCCTCCTCCTCCTCCTCCTCACCTCCTCCTCCTCCCCCTCCCCTCCCCCTCCCCTCCCCCCTCCCCCTCTCCTCTCCTCCTCCTCCTCCTCCTCCTCCTCCTCCTCTCCTCCTCCTCCTCCTCCTCCTCCTCCTCCTCCTACTCCTCCTCCTCCTCGTCCTCCTCGTCCTCCTCGTCCTCTCGTCCTCCTCGTCTCCTCTCCTCCGTCCTCCTCCTCGACCCCTCCTCCTCCTCCTCCTCCTCCTTCCTCCTCCTCCTCCTCCTCCTCCCCCTGCTCCTCCTCCTCCCCCTCCCCCTCCCCCTCCTTCTCCTCCTCCTCCTCCTCCTCCTCCTCCTCCTCCGGCGCCGCGCCGCCCCGTGCGGGCGTGCCGCTCGGCGGGGCGGGAGGCCGGGAAACGCTCGGCTCGGGAGGTGGACGCTCGGGGGCCAGGGCGTGGGCAGCGTGTCGCGCCGAGGCGGTGGGCCAGAGCGGGCGGCGCGACACGCCAAGCAGGCGTCCCCTGCCGTACACCCCCATCTGGAGAAGAGATGCTGTTGTTGTTGCTGCTTCTGCTGCTGTTGCTATTGTTGTTGCTGTTGGTGCTGTTGTCCTACTTCCTCACAATGTATTCCAATGTCGCGCTCTCGCGCGGGACTTCCTCGCAATGTATACAGGAATCGCGCTCCTGCGTGGGAGCTCCTCGCAATATATTTGGACGCCGCGCCCTCGACACTCAGGAATCACGCTCTGGCTGTGGATTTCCTGACGATTGATTTGGGAATCGCGCTGTCGCTCGATCTTTCCACGCGGTTCATGTAGCAACTTCGCTTCAGCAACGCGCCTCCTTGACTTGGCCGCTTGGCCCCGCCTTCCCGACCCGCCTGGTGGTAGGGCCTGCCCGCTCGATGGGCCCGTCTGGCTCTGCCGCGTGTTTTCTGCTCCAAACCCCCCTCCTGCTAATCCCGTGTGTGGGCATTTCGGGGATGGACAGACCCCCCTTCAGTACAACGTGGTTTAGTGAAAACGATCTGAGGCCCAAACCTGGCGGGCGCAAGCCTGGAAAATAACGGCCACGGCGCCCTCTCGAGAACCGAAAACGGACAATTTACTAATCGACGTGTCACTGTTGGGGGTTCTGTCCACCCCCGAATTGGGCGAAATGGGGGGGCGGGGGGAGAGGGTCTGGCTCCGGACCTCTGCTTAGCGCGACTGTTTGCAAACAGGGCGCGTCTTTTGTGGGAGACTCCACCTGCTCGAAATAGGCGCCAAAAACAGCAACGATCCACTCCATGGGGGGAAGAGGGGGGTGCGAGGGCCCGCGCCGATCGGCAAAACAATGAATAAGAACACGATCACGGTTCTATCCTCTTTTCCCCTGTTTCAGGGGCTGCACAAGTTAAACGTGGCAGGTGAGGAAGATATACCGCCAAGGGGGTACGATCGAAGACGAAGATGGCGGGCACCGAGGGTTTGGAACATACGTGTTGAACGACACGCGAGCAGGTAAGAACGACCAGTCTTAAACTGATTGTTGTTGTTGCTGCTCTTCCTCCTCCTCTTCCTCCTCCTTGTCCTTCCTGCGGGAGGAGAAGGGTGAAGGAACAGGATCGGGGTGGACGTAGGAAGGCGTTGTGCGGGAACAGTTTTGAGATAGAGATTCTCGGGAGCGCCTGGGGGGCTTCGGGTGTCGAGGAGGTTCCAGGATAGGCAATCCAGAACAACTTCCCGGGGAGAATCAGGGCGTCGACGGGGGTTCGGCAATGGGAGGCCCAAAGCAGGAAAGACAACACAAGGGGAAAAACGGACCATGAGTGAGATTTGGGGCAGGAGTAAAGCCATAGGAGAAGGAAGCATCAGAGAGAGAGAGGGAAAGAAAACAGGAGGAGAAGCATCAGGGATAGCCGAAGCAAGAGAGGAATCCTGGATGAGCACGATGAGAAGCGAAGAAGGCCATACTCTTAAGAATCCAGACAGCGCTGTGGGCCCAGATGGTCTAGCGAGTTCTTTCTTTCCTCTTCCGACAGCCCTCTTCCATTCGGGCAAGGGCTCCCTCCCCCTCCCCTCTCTGAGGTTTGTTGGTGGGGGGCGCGAGGCGTCAGGGCGCCCGAGATGGGCCAGGATGGCTCTAAGACGTCGCCCGATGCTCGAGGACGGTCTGCAAGACGGCTCAAGACAGCCGGCGGTGGTTCCAAATAGTTTCCGACATGCCGCCCAGTGGCCCGACGAGGGCCTCAGGACGGATCCGAGTGCTCTCGCAGCCCCCCCTCAGGACCCCCCCTCAATATGCCCAACGCCTTTCGAACACCTAAGGACAACCAGTGGCTGTTGACGTCTCGCCTGTTCGCTTCCGACGCGCTATTGAGGCCTCGAGATGGCCCAACGATGGCCTAAGAGAAGCCAAAGAGGGGCCCTAGAGGCAGCCCAGACAGCCCCAAGAGCGCCCAAGAGCGCCCCAAGAGGCGATTAGGCCCACCACCCCCTTTTGATCGATGGCTTCCAAGATGGCCCCACGAGGCCCTCCAGTACTCCCAAGGAACCCCAAAGAGGGCTACAAGAGAGCCCCAAGACACCCCAAAAGAGTCCCAAGAGGAGCACAAGGTCCCCCAAAAGAGTCCCAAGAGGGCGCCAAGAAGCGATTTGAGGGCTCTGTCCTCGTCCTCGTGGTCATCCTCCTCGTCGTCCTCGTCCTTACCCCCATCGTCTTCTGTTTCCTCGTCCTCCTCTTCCTCGTCGTAGTCGTCGTGGTCGTATTCATCGTCGTCTTGCTCCTCCTCCTTATCCGTCCCTCGCCCCCACGCGGGCCCCAGGGATAGCCCGAAGAGGCCCTCAAAGGCCACTCCCTTGCCCCCAGAGATCACTCTGTTCACCCTGGTTGCTCGCTTTGCTTCATTGCATGTGTCTCGTCGTGCCCTTTCCCGTCAACCCTTACGGGCAGGGCTTTTGCATGCGCTGGTGGGGATACGCGGAGCGTGATGAACTAGAAGAAGAAGGAGACGAAGAAGAAGATGATGAAGGGGAGTACTGTGAAGAGACAGTGGAGGGGGGGGGGCAGCCCAGGCACAAGAGCACCCGCGAAAGTGTGCCGCTGCCTCCCCCGCCACGCCCTGCACCGCCCCTCCGCGAGCTGCGCCGCACGTCTGCGCTGGTGCTCCCGGCGCCTTGCTCCTGCTCACGAGCTCCGCTGCCGACCTTCCCCCCCCTCTCCCCAGCCCCTGCAGCTCCTCAACAATCGCACCCTGCCCTCGTCCTTCCCCGATGTCCCCTCCACGGACGACTCGGACCTCCGCCGGCACCGTCGCCGCAATCCGCGGCCCCAGGGCTCCCGACCCCTTCCCCGGGGATCGTTCTGCGCCCCGGCTCCGTTCTGGATGGCCCCACAGAGGGGCCCGATGGCGGGCCCCCGGAGGCCAAAACAAAAGGAGCACCGCCGCGATGGCAAGCATGCCGCCGAAGCTCTGGGAACGAGCACGTGGCGCAGAGGCCCAGGCGCGCGCCGAAGCCCGAGGGTCCTCGATCGGAGTCTCCACGTGGTGCTCGGCAACGCCCTGCAGGTTCGAGAACGCCAGGTACGGCGGCTGCTCAGCATCGCCGATGGCCTCGCGCGCACGCCGCGCGTGCAGGCAAAGGCAGCGGTGAGGAGAGCAGTTGCAAACAGGAGACGCACTGATGCCAGGTCGTATCCGCCAGCCCCAATCGGAGCCATCAGTGTGCCAACCAGGTTTGGGAGACTGCTCAGGGGAAGGGGGCAGGAAAGGGGGAGTCAGAAACAAGCGCGCCAAATGCTTGCACGTGTCCACCCGCGCCGCCTCTCCCGGGTCCCGGACACACCTCCGTGCGGAACCATAGGAAACACACAAACAAGGGCGACAGTGGTGCCGACCACGGTCAGAGATTCGGGTGTGGGGCCCATGAACGCTGGAAGCTCCCATGGTCCTGAAGCAAACTCGACCCCCTCTTGGACGCCCCTGGCAGGCAAAAGGCTGACCGTGATAAAGAACCAAGATGGGCATTCTGATTCAGTCTCGATCTCGTGGCGGCATGAAAGCATCGAATCGCATCGTCCCTCGCTTAAGCCACCCCCGACGTCATGACTTTTCTCAATGTGGACCCTGGGAAATGCCGACACTTCTCCCTGGAGCGCCTCTTCATCCCGAATAAAGGTTGTTGGGGGGCTGTCAAGGGCTCCGTCCGGCCGAAAAATTGCAAACACCGTCCGCCGTGATATTGGGCTTGGCTCGGATTTGCCTTCCTGGGGCTACCTGACTGACTGATTGATTTCCTGTCTGCCTGAATGACCAGTCGCACCCGTGAACTTTCAGGCCGTTCTGGTTTAGAGGGGGCGACCTTAAGCGCAACCAATAGCGGGCCGTGTTGTCGTTCGGCAGCCTAGGGCGTGATCGATGGCGCCACCAACGGCACGCCATTTACCCAAATCGCCTTACATCGCGCACCGCGCATTGCGATGCACGACCCGCTACAGTTGGTCCTGGGACACAAGAACGTGTTTCAAGAGCAGGAGACCCGCAGGCCAAGACACACAGAACATCCAAGGGTAACCTCACCAGGACGCACAAGAGCATCCAGTAAGCACGAAAAACATTAGGGTACCCTCCCCGAACAGGCCTCGATCTCATACCTCGGTCCGACTGCACCCCAATCCCTAACATATTGGCATGCCAAACGGCGATGACAATCTTAGGGGTGCGCCCTCGGAAACCGAGGGAAAATCCTTAAGATCGGCATCGAGAGGAGTGCTGTTGAAGCTGGCAATCTTCCGCGCAATCGAGGAACAACAAGCGTTCCCTAAACAAGAACTTCCGGAGGGTCAGCGCAGATTTCTCGGATGCGCCCGCCCTCCCCCCCCCGCGGCGCCTCCAGCGCCGCCCCTGGCGCGCTCCGCGAGCCAGGGAGACGGGTCCAGCGCCGGTCCGAGAAATCCGCACGGACCTCCGAAAAACTTCGTGGCCTTGCAGCCCCGTGCTCTCGAATGGAGGCCCCCCGAAAAATCGGGTCCAAGAGCAAAAGGTGTCGGAGGATCGCGCCGCTTCGCCGATGCATCGCCGACGCATCAGCGAAGCGCCCGCGCCGTCGGCGAGGCCTCGGCGACGTCGGCATGGAACAACTCGGGCTCCGCACCGGGCCGAGGGGGCGGGCCTTTTCAGAAGGCTCGAAGGGCCTCCAGCCCCCTGGGAGGTGCCGGAAGCCTTCTCTGACGGAGGAGGCGGCCTCTCAGAAGGCCGGAGGGCTTCCGAAAAGCCCCGCTGCCTTCTCTCCCCGTCGCTCAGACGTCCATTCCCTGTCTTCTTGTTTCGGCTTCGTGCGTGCTCTTTGTCGCAGGATGATCCAGGACGCTCCTTCACAACCCCCGCCGAGGAAGAGTGCGCACGTCCGAGCGATACCAAGTTTCGAGAAGGCCTGCCCCCTCTCGCTTCCCCCCCCGACAGGCGCGCCGCCGTGACGAGGGCACCAGTGGCGGAGCGCAGCTCTCCAGCCGAGGCCGCGGCGTGCCAAGCGCGGTCCTCTTCGCGCTCCCTAGGGGGGGTGACCCGGCTTGGCAGGCACGTTCCTGTTCGGCGGCCGAGGGCGCGACCTGTGCGTACAGTCGAGGTGCTGCCAGAAGGAGCGCCACACAAGGAACAACGGGGCTTTTCTGGCCACGGTGGGCCTAGGCCACAAGCAAAGCCCGCGACACAAATCCCAGAAACGGCCCAAATCCCCGAGCCCCTTCCGAACCCAAAGCGGTCCTTATTTCAGCGTCTTGGCCGTAGCGCGACCCATGCGCGACGTGACACGTGGCACGCCCCAGGACGCCAGCCACGGCACGACCCATGGCTGGCGGGACCCATGCGACGCAAGCTGGGGCGCAGCCCATGGATGGGGCAACCCATGGCGCAGCCCATCGATGGCGTATCCTGTGGCGCAGTCGAGGGGTGATGATGCGGCTCATGGATGCCACAACCTCTTGCGCAGCCCACGGCCGGAGTGCGCTGGGATGGGCGGCGGACGCAGACGCGGGCCAGGGAGCGAGGGGCGCAGGAGACGGAGGGGGCCACTGCCTGTCCAGCAGCTCTCGCGGCGCGCGACCTCTCTCGGCGGAGGCGCAGGGGACGTGGAAATGACCCCAGGGGCGGGCAATGCATGTATTCGCCGGGCGCCGCGTCGAAGGCATGGGCGATGGACCTTGATAATTACGAAAAACAAAGCAACCAGACGCAGAAAACTTTGGGGGGGGGGGAACGCGGATCCAGGAACTCCGCGCGGACCTCGGGAATCGAAGGTTTCTGCTGCTGCCGCCCCCTTCGACTGCTGACACGTGCCCGACCCGCCCTCCGCAGGCGGATGGGGCGCCCTCGCTCGACTTCCGGCGGACTTGCCGCGGGCCCTCCGCCAGCTCCCGCCGAGGAGGAGGCTCGGGCCCGACGAACGGGCAGGATGAGAAACTGGGGGGGTACGAAATCTGCTGCGTGCGGCTGGTTTCGGCCCCCAGCGCCAGGGGGGCGCCCAGAAAAACCGGCCACGTGAGCCGGCTCTCAACCCTAGCCTTTGCAGTCCTACCCTTCCTGAAGGCGGCCAGAAGCACACAAGTAAACACACACACACACACACACACGCACATATACAAATCCCAGGATTCCTCATATCTTCCCATATAGTCTGGACTTTCGTCCTCCCTTCGACTTCCCATTCTCTCCCATGTTTCCCGGGGAATCGACGATCATTTGTGTCTGTGTGTTGCTTCCCCTCCTGACCTTCGTCCCCCTCCCCCCCGAAGGGTGCCAACTCCTCGATCCCTGGAGGCGAGGCCCTCTCTGGATGCGCCACCCAAGCCCCCGGAGGGAGGCGCCACAAACACGCACACACAGACACACAGACACACAGACACACACACACACACACACACATCCACACGCACACACTCACACACATCCACATGCACACACACACACACACACACACGCCGCACACACACACACACACATACACACACACACACACACGCGCACACACACACGCACACCGAGGCCAGGGGAGGCGCGCGCCCACTTCGACTGCCCCGAGGCTCTGCGCCACACGGGGAGCAGGTCGGCGGCGGTTGTCGGAGGGTGCTGTGCGCTTTCGTTCTGCTCTCGCTTCCCTTCGCTCCGTCGTCGCTGGACAGTGCCTTCCGTTTTGGTTAGGTTCTCATCTTCGTTTTCCAAAGCTTTCCGCTTCGTTGTGTTCTCGCTCTCCTTCGCTCCGTCTTCGTTCTGCCTCGATGGCTGCGAGACGACATCATATCAGAACGAGAGCGGCCCACGAGAGCGCCAAAACATCGTTCAGTTCGAGCCCTGATGAAAAGGACACAACAAGAATCGTAAGACGAAGCCAGGAAGAGGATAAATTCGGGTGAGGAAAAGTCGAGGATCTCTGAGATCCGGCGGCTCTGGAGGCTGTCTCGTGCGCAGCGGCCTTCTCAGAGAACGCCCTTAGAGCGTTCTGGAGCGCTCTGGAACGGCTTCGTCCTCGTCTTGGCCCCGTCCGGCATCGCGGGGCCGAGGAGGCAGGATGGGCGCGCCCGAAATTCACCAGCCTGGAACATATCCCTATCCCTATGCCGGGCACCTCCGTATCACGATGCCAGTCTTAGGGATTCCCTTATTTTTTTGGAGGGCGAATCCCTAAGATTGTCATCGTCTTTTGGCGTGTCAATCTTAGGGATAGGGATACGTTCGAGGCTGGTAAGAAATGGGAACATAACAGATGGGAGCGATTCCCTACAGCAAGTGCTGCCTGAGTCTACGACAGCGGCCGCTGTTGGGCAAGCGACTCTTCGTCTCGAATGGGCCTCGTCCGTGGCGACACCAGCAGCGAGCCCTGTGCAAAATGGGCAAGAACTGCTTTCTGTCTTCGGCTCCTGTCTCTCTGGACCCATTTTCAGAAAACAAATCCTGAGAATTCTCCGCATGAGCAATTTTCGGGCTACGACGCCCGATCATCGAGCCGTGAAACAGGTTCAGGCAAGCCGGAGCCTCAGATGAAGCCGGATTCGGCAGGATTGAACGGGATTTATGCAGCATCGGGGCGCTTTCGACCACGAGTATATCGGGTCGGGCGAAAGGGGGGGATAGCAAAGGGGGGGGTTGAGAATCAGCTCACGTAGCTGATTTTCCCGGCGCCTCCCGGCGCCGGAGGCGGCTATGTATCGAGGAATGGGCCCCTCGGTGAGGCCGAAACCAGCTGCATGCAGCAAATTTCGTAACCCCCCCTTTCCCAATCCCCCCCTTTCGCCCGGCCCGAGTATACCAGCGCCGATGCTGCATTCAACCTCCCAGGTGTGACATCGTAGCCATCCCGACCGTGCCGAGAGGGAGAGGGAGGCCGCCCCTCGGGGAGAGCGCTGCCGCCCGCCTCTGCCCGAAGCGCTGGCCCCAGCGCCCCATGCAGGGCGCGAAGCGAGGCGGAAGAGGCGGACGAGCGAGAAAGAGCAAGAAGCAGGGCGAAGAGAAGAGGCGGAAGAGGGCGAAGAGCAGAACAAAACAATCAGAGAGAGGAGGAAGGGGCGCAGGAGGAGGCGGAGGCACGAGGAGGCGGGGGAGGAAGAGGAGGACGAGGAGGACG